ACACACACACACACACACACACACACTCACTGAACACACACACACACTGAACACACACACACACTGAACACACACGCGTCTGGCGCGCATCTCATCTGCGTGCTGATAGTGCTCTCTCTAGACAACAGCATTTAGAAGTCGTAGAAAGTTATAAATCTCGCAGCATCCTTCCGAATAATTAACAGTAAGGATTTTTTTTTATCTTTAGGAATTTGGCCGTGGGGGTCAAATCTAGGTTTTTATCAATGTATATAGACGCGTTTAAACGGATGCTTTTTGAACGGCTGAGTTGTTTGAAAAGAATATGTGTGTGTCCGCGGCAGTGCAGGTGAGTGTTTTCTGCTAAATATCCGTGTTGTCTGAATGTTTGGACTGTAAATGTGGGTGTGGGAAAGACGCGAGGTAGAAAGATGCGTTGAGTTTGTGCTTACCAAATACAACACTTTATGCTACATACATACACTCTTAAAAATAAAGGTGCTTCAAAAGGTTCTTCAAGTGATGCCATAGAAGAACCATTTTTGGTTCCACAAAGAACCATTCAGTCAAAGGTTCTTTAAAGAACCATCTCTTTCTTACCTTTTTATAATCTGAAGAACCTTCTTTCGCCACAAAGAACCTTTTGTGAAACAGAAAGGTTCTTCAGATGTTAACGGTTCTTTATGGAACCATTTAGACAAAAAGGTTCTTCTATGGCATCGTGAAGCACCTTTATTTTTAAGAGTGTAGTATGTTAGCTCTGATTCATTTTCACTTAATTTCCAAACGTAATATCTATCTATCTATTAAGGCTTTTTTTAAAATGTAGACTGTCAAGTCATTTGTTCTCCTTGACAAATGTTCCTTGTTTAGTTTTTAGTTTGTTTTATCTCAAGATAAATGCTGCATTATGACGTAAAAATATAACCGTTGTTTGTTACAGTTATAATAATAAGTTATTTATTTTATACATTAAAAATACAGCTTATTATACAAAGTGCATTATATGGTTTGAATCCAATTCATCAAACAATTAAATACTTTATATAATAAACTATTTATATACTTATTTAAACTAAGTATTTATATAGTATATATGATTAATTAACATATTATATAAATATATACATTATATTATAACATTACAATAATTCATTTATAATAATTCAGTAATTCAGTTATTTGTTAGTATACTATTTACCTTCATCTGCTTATTTAGATGAATCGAGAGATGCACATGCTGAATTTATTTTGCTTGTTTATTTGTTTGTTTGTTTTCACACACATACAATTTCTTGTTGATACTGTAAATCTGTTAGTTAGTGGTTTAACTGTCTTGCATGCCGTCAGCTTGATGTGTGTCTTTGCATTTCATCAGGTTTGAAAGACTTTGGAAACGCATGCATGTGCGAATATGTTTATATAACTTGGAATCACAGTCATTTGTATGTGATTGGTGTACGTGCCGAAGAATCAGGCAGAGATGCTGAGTTGTTGAGGTGTGTGTGTGTGTGTGTGTTTGGGTGTGTCTGTCCTGATGTGCTACTGAAATAATGAATGTTGTGACCCAGACTTCACAGCACAGTGCATTGCTGAAGGCTCAGGGAGCAGTCAAGGTTATCCAACAGTTATGAATCATTCATTAATATGAGAAAGATAGAGGGAGGAAGAGGCAGAAGTCTGAAGAAAGTAACAATTGCAATATTCCCTATCCCGAACCCCTGAGAAACACTCACTTCACACTAGGGCTGTAGCTATCGATTATTTTAGTAATCGAGTATTCTACAGATTATTCCATCGATTAATCGAGTAATCGGATAAGTCGTTTTTCTTTATTAAAGAGCAATACTAAATATACAAGAGATAATAAGATAGATCTCTTAAAGTAAACAACTAATTTGTTTTCTTTTTAGAAAAATTAACATTTTTATTGCTGAAATTGCATACATTAATAACTGTGAAAACTAAACCCATTTAATGTATTTAATTGCCAAATTACATTCAAAATGCAAATACAAATATATTAATAAATAAATTAAATAAATTAATTAAAATACAAAAAATCAATTTCACATTACTTTAAAAAAGGTAAACAGTACAAACTAAGGCATAAATCAAAATAATAGTAATAGAAATAATAATAATACCTAAACATTGCATTTATGTTGTGCAACTTAACTTTCAAGTAACTAAAGCTCAAGCATGACATAAGACTTTACTGTCTTCTTGGAAGGCTTTGTGGCTTTTGTGAGAGGCAAAAATCAGTGGACAGGAAGGTAACTTGGAACAAGAACAAGAGACCATACACACAGAAGCTGCATGGGATGAATTTCCCACACAGAGGGACATGAATGCATTTAACCTGCAGTTACAAATGCATAAATAATATTTTGTTATTTTAAACATAAAACATTGAATACAGATATTTAAAATTATTTAAAAAATGAAAAGATACTTTGAATGTCAAATTAAAACCGCCAGCAGGTGACAGCAAGTCACTGTTAAGAAGTGAGTCATTGCGATTTTACCGAATCATTTAAACGGTTGATTCATTCAGGAACTTCATGTTGCACAGAGGCGCAAAACAGCGCTGTGGCTGTGTTTGGAATTTTTTTTCTTGGCCAAATAAAGCAAAAACAGGCAATATAGTGTCTAAAACGTAAGTCTCATAATATTACCTTCTTGTTTATTGAACTGTTGAATAAAATCACATTTGTAATCATGCTGATTTTAGAGGTGAAAACTGGCACTCTTGTGTGATATTGACTAACTTTCTCTCTATGGTATTTTTATGCACAATGGGGTTTAGTCTTTCACAAAACATAGCTAACGTAGGGACATTTTAAAGGCTGGTCCCTGTTTTTATACAGTCTATGGTCTGGTCCAGTGTTTATCGGGTTGTGCGTGAGTAATAATGGTCCGTGGGGAAACACGGTGTTCCGTGTGAAGTTACAGTAAATGGACTAAACGAAGCCTCGACACAAATAATTTGCCTCAATGATTTTTTTGTATTCGAGTTACTCGAGGTATTCGAGGAATCGCTTCAGCCCTACTTCGCACTCACAGGCTGTGTGTATGTGTGTGTGTGAACATATGGTTGTGTGTGTACAAATGCTAGCCTTTCCTCACCTTCTCAATTTCAGCTAAATTACCAATCCAACTTCTGGCCAATTACTTATGATCATCTTATTGAGGCGGTCTGAATGTTGCTTCATTTGAGTTCATCTGATAGCGGAGCGTCTGCTAATGAGATGATTCTGATCCTCTGTGCAGAGCATGTATTGTGCGCGGTTGTTAATTGTGTGATTATATGCACAGTCCACACCTCACTTCATGCATATTCAAGGTGATGTGTAGAAGGTGTGGTTGAAGGAGAGAGAGCTGTGAGGATGCTGCAGTTTACCCTTGCTGTGTAGGACAGCACTGCAAGACAATTCTGCTTCTTTGAGCTCACTGTGCATTACAAGACCATCACTATCTGCTAATCTGTTTCAGCTTATTCAGTCTCAGATGTCTAATGGAATCGACATCAGTCATATTATGTGAGAAATTGTGAAGGTCATTCAAATGATGTCACACTAAACTTAAAAAAAAAAAAAAATTGAAGTTGTAAATAAAACAAAGAGTACATTTTTATATTCGTTTGACAAGAAAATACAATTTCAGTCTTTCTGCTTCAAAATTTAACATTTAATTCAGTGTTACTTTCCATTTATTTGTAATTAATTGTGAAATTTATTAGCAATTTCTAAAGGAACATAGATTTTAAACCAGTTTTTTTACAGTTCATCCAGAAATTCTGTCACCATGTTTTAAACCTCATGTTATTATTTGACTTCTTTCTTCCAGAAAGCACAAATGGAGATACTTTGAAGAGTGTTTATGCTGCTCTTTTCCATGCAACTAAAACTTGAAGTAATTAGAGGCTGTTTGCCAATAACTTTTATTATTTCTTAGAAAAATAGCCATGTGGTGTGAACATCAACAAAAAATTTATGAATGAGTAAATAAAACAGGAAATTATTTTATAGAAAGGACCACTGCAGACCCTCAAGTGTTTTATATTAGATGATTTGTCATTTTTATGACAAGCCATATTATTATTTAACGTCATGTGGTGCGACTCTCCAAAAACTAAAAACTAGAATTAAATAATAATATATATTTTTAAATATTTTATATTTTATTTTATTATCATCAAAATTTGAAAATAATATAATAATTCAAATTAATATAATTAATAATATGAATACAATTAATAATAACTATACACTGACATGTACAAAATATGTTATTACTTTTTTACTTGGTTGTTACAACACGTGACATTTTTAGAGCTATTAAAGGTAAACTTTTCTTGAAAGTGATATAAAGGTTTTCAAAACCATATGAAACCCGCATTAATAGAAATAGTACATTTCTAAGAACTTGGCACATGTATTTTAAACTAGAATTTAAAAGGATTTTTCCTTTTCTTTATTATGGACACTCTTATTTATTCTCACAACTGTCATTGGTTCATAATGACTTTAAAAACTGCTTGGATTGACATAAATGAGTACATTTTTTGGGCACACTGTGCCTTTAACCATGTAAAATAATGGCACAAGATGGCATCCCCTTACCCCTAAGGGCAAAAAAGTATAGTAAAACTATCAAAACACACCAATCAATGAACCAAACTGTTTGAACACATATATCTTAACTTGGGTCAGTGAAGTGTGGTGCAATGAGATTGTATTGTTCTTTATCTTCCCACTATTTAACCTAAGAGTCAATACCTGGACCATAGTTACTCTCGCTTCATTATCCAGACCAAATGGACCTTGACATGTCTGTTGCTTGGAACAACACAAATATAAATCTGAACAGTGATGGATCGGGCCCCGTTAGATGGATATTGATAGCAGGTAGGGCATAAGCGTGTCACTGTAAAATTGTTACAAGAGAACCGCACACAGCCTTGAGCTGTAGGCTGCACTGAGGAGGAGAGAGGGAGGGCTGCAGGGATCAATATCAGTGAGCAGGAGAAGAGCGAGGGATGGAAGACGTGGTTGAGGAGGGAGAAACATAGAGGGGTAAGGGACTGAAGAAGGATGAGGAGGCGTGGCGAAAGGAGAGAAAAGGAGGCTGGTGGGGAGAGAGAGCTCAGAAGGGAGCGATGGAGGGTCACCTTCAGCGATGGCATCTGATTCAGCACAATCTTTCCCACTCGGGTTACTGCACTGTGACCTAGCCGAGCATGCTGGGACTCTCTGAGGCCAAGCCTCTCTTCCTCTCTTTATTTTCTGTCTCTTTCTGTCCCTCTGTCTGTTTCTCCTTTGACCTTTCGTCTATACAAATCCAATC